ATAGTCCCTAGTTTCCTACCATTTGCTAGATATTTTTTGAAAAGGGGAGGGCGAAGTTGAAGGCCCTGCGGTCCTCGATCCTTACGGGCATTCCCAAATCAGGTGATGACTCCCAAACCCAAAGTAAACGTGAAACTCTACGAAGCGCACTATAGAGGACTTCTGCCCTTTCCAAGAAGAACCTGTATGAGGTTACTCGTTAGTTCTTCCAGGAGGGTAAGTCTTGACCAAGGTACTGGCAGTTGCGTGGTAAATGGAGTTTCATAATTGGCTATGCATGGAGTTCCAAGCCTACGCTATGCTCACACTCTGACTCTCAATCCCGAACCGAACCCCAAGCCGTATCTCCCTGAACCTCCGTATAGAGTATACAGATTATACAGGCTGGTACTATAGGTGCCACTACCATCTGCCTGGCAGTGAAACCCTTTCTAGATTCGAATGCTTTTTTGGGGCCTTCATCGGACGGGTGGTTTGACCAACGGACTAGACGTGTTAAGTTTCCTTGTTGGAGTCTTTGGGCACTTCCCTTCCCAGGGTACCCCAGAAAGAGTACCTGGACAGTCACGTGGACTTTGTAGAGTAATATTGAGGATGTCTTTTGATGTTGTGTGGCTTCTGTGGTTTTTTAATTTACGAAGTCCCATGGCCCTGCAGCATTAGTGGTGGTCAGACCACGTCGCAGCCCAGATGCTTGTAGGCCCATTATATAAACTTTGGAGAACTCAAGATGGGTAAAATCTCGAAAACGCTCCATAGACCTCATTCAGGAGACTCTTAATGGGATGGTCATGATTGATTTGTCGGGCTGAGGTGGGACTGTGGGAAAAGTCAACCAGCACAGAACCCTGTGGAAAGAGATCTGCAAACTCTTGCAATGGCTACATGGGAAGTTGTACCAAGTATGGTTCGTCCTTTGGACCCCGCCCCTCATACATCTCTAGAATGCCAAGAGAAAGAATAGCCTTGAGAACCCGACCCGTACATCTAGGTAAGGGTTTACGGTTTAGGGGAGCCAAGTCTGAGTGCTGGCACAACGCATCGGGTTTGGGGTTCTTCAAGAGTATTCCAAGCTTTGCAAAGTGCCAAGGTCTGAATATGGCAAGAGCTGCCTGGCTGGCATTTGCATTCTCAACTGAGATCATGTATGGCCTGCATAGGGCTAAGGCTTAGGCAGTGTTGGGTTGAGAGTTTACGGCTTGTGGAAACTGGTTATAGAAGAAGTTCCTGACTTTGCCATGACAATGCCCTCACAAATCGCTAGACGGCCTGTTGTTGATGTCCTGTTTGAGTGTTGCGTGGCGCGTAGACGACCCATCTCCGGTATCTTGTTTGCAGGGAAGATGTGCCTCTGTCATTAAGTCAGGTCGACTCCGTTTTGTGGCTTCAAAGGTTTTGCATCAAAGAAAATGATCTCTGGAGAGGTCCTTTGCTTTAGCCTTACATAGAGCTCTGGTAGTTTCCATACAAAGGGGGATCCCGCTACAAACCCCATACGTTCTAATCCTTGTTATGGGAACCCCACCCTAGACCCTAAATCCTGAACCCTAAATCCCTAAACGGTACCCCTAAATTTGGGAAATTCCTGTGTGACCTGGGCATTGCAGAAGTGAACCCTTTTTGTGAGATGGAAGGTTAAGAGATGAAGGCCTACTGAATGGGTTGGGTAAGGGTTTAGGGTTTAGGGGTACCATTTTGGGGATCACCATAGTAAGGGTTTAGGGCTACCATTTTGGGGTCCCCATAATACTTACGGATTTAGGGTTCAGGGTTCAGGGCACTGAAGAGTTGGGGTCGATCAGAACAGAGTCTTGTCATATACCGTTTTCTGCTTGCATAGGGATTATGATGCCCTGCTCTTCGTGATTTTTTGGGCTGGCTTCTACACTAGTTTGAGAATTTCATTGTACAATAGCAGTTGAAGAATACGTATAGTATGAATAGATTACATAAAGCATGGAATACGTGCCCTATTATATACTCTTACAGGGTGTGGCAGTACCAATCTTTTCCCTTTCACGCAGCAGAGCTAGCTGGGAGATCCTTGCAGGAACTGGGGTTGGGTTCAGCCACAAACTCATTGGCACAATGGAAGAACCCACTGCAGCTTGGTCGTCTCTGAAGCCCCTGAAGCCACCACGGGAGTACTTGTAAAGGATAGGCTCATCATGAATTGTAATTGGCCCCATAACCCTGACATTGTAAAACTCATAAAGCCAAGCCACCCGATAGCTCATTGTTACTGCCAGGACGCCTGTGCAAACACCCAAGAAGCCTAATCGCTCCCCTACCTGCCGTGTGTTGAGGTTTGGGCGCAAATCTCGAGGACCTGCGACCCCGTGATTGTAAAAGGGGGGGTTGGGGCCGGGGGCAACTCGGGTTCTTCGCCCTCTGGAGTGTAACGTGCAAAATCAAGAGTTGTTTGTTCTTAGTACCGCTGCTGCTGCTGCTGCCGCCGCCGCCGCCGCTGCTGCTGCTGCAGCCGCGACAGCTGTTCAAATTCGCGCGTTTCTTGCCACAGCTGCACTTTGACATGATGTCAGCATGGCCAGTGGAAGTAAGGTTGCTTTTGGTAAAACCCCTTGGCGTCAAGGGAACCCCCTACTGAGAAGGCACCGTGCAAAAACCAACGCAGAAGTGAGCGGGTTGTAAAAAGATCACCTTTTGGGGGTGGAACCTGCAGACTTTCCGGGCACCCTATGATTTGGCATGGACAACCTGCGCCCGAAACCAAGCAGTCAACCCGCAGGCTAAGGTCATGCTCGCGCAGTTCTCAAAGGATTAGGGCTCAGATTGCATAAAGTCACCAGAAGTTGTTTAGTGCAAAGGATTTGGAGTGCTGGCTGTGTGCAAGCCCAGACGCAGAAATGAATCTAGGAGAGTGCTTTAACAAAATACGATAACAGATTTAGACATCGATGCAGATGTCATGTCTATGATTACCTCAGGGTAGCAACAGTCCTCTCCTTCTTGCCCTACATTGAAAGCAACAGGCAGGAGATTGTGGCCAAACTTTCCCAGGCTGTAAACCTTAGCCCTGCAAGAACACAGCGAAACCCTGCACCCTGAACCCCAAACTCTGGACCTTCGAGCAGAGCAGAATTACAAGGTTGCGACGCAAACAAGGGATAAACTCTAAACTCTATGATTCAAGCCCCATACCCTAGACCCCTAAAAACCCAAACACTAAGCCCTAAACCCTGAATCCTAAACCTGAACCGAAAGGACCCCGACCTGGCCTGGGTGGTCCGCGAGGCCCTCGCGGGGGTGGGGGCGTTGGGGTTGGGAAGGGGTTAGGGTTTTCATAGGGTTTGCTGTGCTGTCCATAGGAATTAATTTGAATTTTTATTATAGTATAACCCGAAGGAAATAATTGAAAGAAATAGTTTTTATAGGTCTAAGGAAACTACAGTTTGGGGATTAGGGCTTAGGCTTTAGGGTTAAGCAGGGTTTAGGGATACTATCCCAATACCGGAGAAGGTGAAGATGAAATGGAAACTGGGACTATAGAATTTCCAGAACGTAAGGGTTTGGAAGAATCAGGGGTTTTTGGAGGTTCCCAGAATCAGGATTCTAGTGATATATGGAGGTCTACAATGGGCACACCCTGTTTATGGAGACTACCATATCATCAGGGGGAGCTAGAGGTGTGTGAGGGACGGGGGTGTGAGAGCTATCTTGCCCAAATTAGGACTACGTAAGACCAAAGTAAGCGAATATATCACTCAAACGTTTGACCTGTTGTCAAATGAGAGGTTTCCATAAATAGGGGGCTCTAATATACAGCCTTATTTAAGGAACTCCAGAAGGAGACCCCTACCTTTTTTCGATATTTTGGGTTCAGGGGCCTGGGCATTCTCCCATATATATATATATGTGTGTGTGTGTAGGAACTCCTCAGCCAGAACCTCCTCTGTATCACCCCTCGAAAGTCACGCAAAAGCTCTTCCTAAAAAGATAGCCTTTTTTTGGCAGATGTTATCGCCCGCGGCTTGCATGTAGGAGAACATAGACTGGCAGCTAGCCATATGCAATCTGCTTTCCTTAGGTAACATTGGCTTTCTGGCATGTGCAAGGGTGGCTTCTCAAAATAGGAGACTCTTTGGTAGTTTCCTTAAATCAGGGTCCACCGAATGAGCCCCAATATAGTAGGTCCTTATTCTGGGATACCCCCAGAAAGGTACCCCTAATTTAGGAGCTCCCTAAACCCTAAAATAGGAGACTCTTAGGAACGCTTTGGAGTAGGCGCTTGGAGGCCCCATGCTCGATCTTTGCACAGAAGCCTGCACCATGCTGCTGGCCCTAAGTCCCAACTATATGAGCTGTAGTCTAAACTCCTCAAAGGGGGGGTTTATAGGGTTTAGGGTCTAAACTCCTTAAACGCAGGGTTATATAGGGGATTATAGAGGGAACTACTACAGGGCTTCTTGAGGGGGATAATAGGAGTTTAGACTATAGCTCATAAAATCATGATCTCCGAGCGGTGGGCAGACTGCAATTGAAGTCACCGCAGAGATGGACACAGGAAGAAGGGCTACCTGGTAGCCATTTTAAATCAGAACGTAGCAGCCTGAATAATTATCGAAGTCTCTTTGTTTCGAAGCATCAGAAGGAAGAGACATGCAAGTCGCATCTTGAATCGTACGTTGACGGTACAGGCCTCCAATTGGAGCTCTTAACCTTGCAGTGCCTTGCAGTCCGTACATACCAACTATACCCTAGATCCAGGACTTTCAGAAGCCCTGGATTCAAAAAAAAATTCTAGATCGGTTCTGAACTTGTGGCATTTTCCTTAGCCAAGCCGTTTGGGAAGTTCTGGGCATAGATTGGCCCATCTCATGGCATCCAAAACGCAAGATCCTTATTACAAAATCTCCCTACAGGGGCACAAAAACACCACGAATCGTTGAGTCCCAAACTCTGAACATTATAATACCCTTCATCTCCAATAGAAAGCCCTTTATTTGCAGGTACCCCATAGAGGATACAAACAGCGGGAGGCTTTTCACGCTGCTCTCCCAGCCTCCTGGGCAGAGTTTGCGGATGACGAGGGGCGAGCTCCCTGTCAACAATCCAGGGACGCACATTGAAGGACTGAACGGAGCTGGGTTTTGATTGTTACCACGAGACGCATTATTCTGAAGAGTATTGATTATTTACCATACTGTCATTATGAAACTAGTATACAAAAGGGGGCCCTTACTCACCCCGGGAAGCAAGTCCAGGCCCGAGCTTTCTCCTTATCTTGGCATGCTCGCTCGCAGAAGCCCTTGGCAAGTTGGCAGCTGTTAGGTGCATCGTACCGAAGAGGCCTTCTATGCCAACATAGAGCCTTTGTGGGAGCTCTATTTAAGTACTGCTCACCAACGACATGTGACAAGCTTCTAGCTCACTGGACAAGTGCTCCGCCAAGGTTTACTTCTACAACTACACCACAAACGAGAGTGCCTCTGATGCAGCAATGCACGGTTGCTTGGGGTTATTCGGGGTTGGGGGGTCTGAAGATTTCGAGGAGCCATACACGCAAGCTAACATGCTTCTGTTTCAAATGCCTTGCCACCAGAGACACCAAGGATATCTGGTTATATATGGTTACTGTTTGTGGCATGTAGTGCTGCCAAAGGACAACTGTACACTGAGAAAGTAGAAGTGGGATTCCGCAAGTCAGGAAGACCTCTTTCTTCATCCTAGGGATTGTCAGCCTGAATGGGCTCAAAGAGATGTTTCTTCCGGGCTCTATGGCGACTGCTGTGAGAGACTCTGAGATGAACTTCAAAGCCTTCTCCGAGAGGCTTGCCTGACGAGTCGTACAAGTCTTACATGAAGACGTATGGAGATGTATAGACGTGTAGAAGAGGTCGACAGCCATATCCAAGCCCAAGAGTGGCGCTTTCGACTCATACGGGCGGGATGTCGCAGGAACGATGCACATCTCAAGCATTTAAAATGGAGCCACAGGGTCTGGAGCTTGTTTCTGTGACTTGAGCGCAGATGCGCTTCAGTCTTATCCTTGTCATATGCAACGCACTTTCATCATGTCCTCCTGAATTCCGTAAACGTGCTCTCATGGATGCTGGCTTTCTGGTCTCAACAGCCTCGCTATGAAGGACGGACAACAGATTCTAGATGATGCCTTCAAACGGGGGACTCGGCTTTCGGATATGTAGAGGTGACGCAATTTAAGTCCGGACGGGCATGCTTCAGGCCTGTCCTAACACCCTACTACAGTGGTAGAATGGGCTTCGGCGAGATATCACCAGATGTGGATGGCAAAGCTGCAGGGGGAGAGGGGAAGTACAATTCTGTGGGGACTCGAAACGGTCCATTTCTTTGTTAACCCGCGCAAGTACTACTTGGCCACGACTTTTTTTGCGATACTGAGGACCAGGATCCTCCTAGACCAATTTTGCTCCACACGCATGTGCCGGTTTGCAAATTTTCTGCGACTTTCCGTATATCGTGTTGAAGAAGTCGGGACGTACCTCAACTGCAGGCGATGTGCAATTTGTTGAAGACATCTAGATGTGGAATCAGAATGGACCACATATCCTCAGCAGAGTTTCAGCCGCTTCTGAACGATAACGTGCATGAACCTTTGGTTCATTTCTTACATACACCTCCCAACTACCTCCCCAAAATGGTACATAGGCTGTTATTCTGTGTAGTCGGGAGGACTAGGTATTGAAAGCTCCTAAGCCGTCTGAGCCTCCTGCAGAGGCACTTGGAACCATCCGATGGATGAAGTCTACAGGGAGCTCATTGCAACTGGGCTATAACATTTTGCAAGGTTTAGTTTAGGGCTTAATCTCTGCTTCGCTGCAGGACGTTCCAAATTCTTGGCAACTCTTGAAGGGGTTTCATACTATGATGTTGTGCATAGACGCGTTTTCTGCCAAACCAATCTTTTTCACCTAAGTGCAGCTTCCAATTAGCAAGAGTTGTCCGCTGTTGGCAAGTAGACCATCAACAGAATACTCAGGCTTGCAAACCTTGACCCTACCTAATCTCGGCCCCTGCACCCATAAATCCGACAGCCTAAGCCCCAACTGGGAGTTTCAGAAAGCAACCCAGAAACTTCGCGTTGCATCGCGGTTTCTGTACTGGAAAGGCTCTGGTTTTGCGTGTGCGGCGTGTGCAACCCGCGCCAGTAGCTCAGGCAGGATGATGTTCCACTTTGCAGGTCAAGATCACTTAGTGGTTTAGGGTTAAGGGTTCAGGGTAAAAGGGAGGGATAGAGAAGCAAATGCAAGTGACCATATTATTCAGAGTTTAGGGCTCGCCTACTTGGGAAGCATGTTAGCCATACTTTAGCCTACTTCCTAGGTCGCACTGATCCTCCAAGCACTGGCCCGAAGTGGCCGGTTGCCACAGCTAAGCCTAATAATTATATACTGTAGGTAGGTTGTGAAAAACATGGCCAAACTTACGTACGCACAGGGGTCGCATTTTTACCGGAAGCCCGAGAGAGCGCCACAGCTTTAACAAGCGCTTGAGTATTATGGGGTGGTGACACAACACCCCAAGATTTAGGGTTTGAGGGTTTGGGGGATTGTGTTTGGGGACTGGGCCAGTTAGGCTTGAGGGCTTAAAGTTTGGGTTTTTGCCTTTCAGGGGCGGGGGCATTTGGCTTTGGGTTCCGGGATTGGAAATAGAGTCAGGGCAGGGTTTACTTGGCAGCTTTCATTGATTTTGAGAGACCGTGGCCATGTTTCAGAAGCTACACAAGGCACTTTATGTTTGAGATAAACCCTAAACCCTAAACCCGAGGATAGGGTGCCACAACATAAGTGCTTGGAGTTGAGGGCATTGCAGGTCATGAGTATGAGGGTAACGTTTGAAAGATGCCGAGAGCCGTGGTCGACGTACTTTGATGTTGGGAACCCTTACTGCTATGGTCATGTTTGACTGATGGTTTTAGAATTTCTTGTCAGTACTCAGGCACGGGAGGGTGGGGTGGAAACAAGATTGTTCGACCGGTCCCTTGGGAACCCACATTGACATTATCTTGGGGCCCACGTTTTGGCCCCATGTATTAAATACTTAGGACAGTGAAGAGCATCCAACCATGGTTGCGCACCAGCCGCCTAAGCCACTAAAGCCCCAAAGCCTCCGTTACACCCTCAGCCCTCAACCCCAAAACCCTAACCACCTACACCCTCAAACCGCAGAACCTGAAATCAGAACCTTATTCCCTGCACTGCTTGATCCTTAAAGCCACTGAAACAGGAAAGTTTCAGGTCTGCAGCTTCCTCCATGTAAACCTCACTAAACCCTAAGACTACTGCGACTTTTCGGGTCTACGGTAACCGTGTAGCCGCCTCATGTGCCTTCAAGTATTGCATGTAAGCCTTTTCTGCAAGCCTCGCGCAAGAGCAGCCACAAGTAATTCACCACTTGAACATTCCCTGAGCCTAAAGCCCTGAAGCCCTTGAATCCCCCACACGCTAGCTTCCTAGAAGTTGAAACCGTGCAAGCGCCATCCCTACACCCGTGAACCCCCTAAAGCCTTCTAAGCTCTCTAGGCCCCAAAAGCTTCCCTGCCAGGAGAGGCTTCATGAGCTGATAGGCCAGCACCTTCGCGAGGCCTCGACGGGACTCAAGGCAATCTACACCCGTCCTGCTAGGGGTGGAGGGTGGAGGATGCATGGTGGAGGATGGAGCGTGGTGGAGGTTGTGAGGGTGGAGATTTTGAAGGTGGCGGGCGGAGACCGGATGGTGAAAGATGGAGAGTGGTGGAGGGTGGAGGTTCGATGACGATATCGATGTGATATCGACAAAAAAATATTGTTCAAACGGCCATCATGATGATGATGTTGATGATTAGTGTTATTACATTATTACCATTATTCAAATTATTCTAGGTAGTATTACCAGTCTTCAAGGAGTCGTGTCATTCCAATGTTAATTGCTGTTTCTATGACTGTTGTTGCTTTTGTGCTTCTATTCCTCTACTGTCATTGCTGCCTTTGGCGGTTGGTATGCCCCCTCTGCGGGTGCCCCAAACCCTAATACCCTAAATCCTAAACCCCAATACCCTGAACCCTAAACCCCAATACCCCAACCCTACATCCTAAACCCTAGGGTACAGCTTGCTTGACGTTCCACGTTCAGGTATTGGTGTCAAGAGCTTTCCAGTTGATAGGTGCGCAAGGCAACTGGAGGTTGAAGTTTTTTCGGGTTGGGGTTTAGGGTTCAAGGTTGAGGGTTTATATGGGTTATATGAGACTACTATAATTGGTTATATAGGGATTATAGGGTATATATACGTACATATATAGGGGTTATATAGGGATAATGGAAAAGAACATGGAAACTACCATTTTTTGGGTTGAGGGTTTAGGGGCCCCAAGTCATAGAGGGTAGTTGGAGGGTCTAGGAAAGGAGAGTCCTGACGAGGGTGCCTGTGTGGTCGTCCTTCTGACTTAGTGGCAATTGTGCTTGCAGGTTTTCTCGGACCTAAACATTGAAGCCCAAACCAAATCTACAATATGTCTGAGGTGTATGATCGTGCGTCATCCCAACTGGCGAATTGGAGTCTGGGCTTAACGTGGTCTTAGCAATCATGGCAAGGCTAATTAGAGGGTGTAGGGCGGCTTATAGGAGCAAGGGAGTCTAGCCTAATCAGAACTACATAGCAGGAGAGAAATCCCAGAGTGGCTTGTGGTGTTGTTCTGCTTCGGCTTCTTGAGGGCAGGTCGCTTCACTCCTCAACCCTACGCCCGGAGCCCTCGCCCTCTCAAGTTGTCACTCTTTCTGGGGATTCCTCCAACCATGATCCGGGTTTAGGGTCTAGAGGTTAAGTAGGGTTGTAGAGTTTAATGTTTTAGCTGTAGTGATGGCCCGCTCATGAATATAGGTCTCATATTCTACGCCTTCAAGGGAGCAAACACGCAAAGAACTATCAATTGATGTTTGGAGTTGTTTGCAGGACCTGTCACATCAACTAGCCCGCGCGTAGAGGTTCCTATGAGTCTGTTCCATGTGTTTTCTGATAAACTTTTAGAAGTCTCCAGAGCAGTCCTTGCAATGCGAATGTGCCGCGGTCCGCTTGTGATAACCTCACGTGTCTTTGGACGCTACTGCCAGCAATTCCCTGTCCAAACATTAAACTGAGGACCACAAGTAATGCTAATATGGTGAAGTGTTGTTAATGGGAAATGGTGTCAACGGGTGTAATCTTTTGGATGCACCCAACTTAGCGCCGTGGTCACCTAGCAAATGTAGAATATAACAAAGCTCCATTTCCTACCCTATTTCTTCAAGACTGCAAACCCTGAAGCCCTAAACCCCTAAAGCCCCCAACCCCGAAACCCTAACCCTACACTCTAACCCCCCACCTGAGCCCCCAAACCCTAAACCCCCAAACCCCCAAAACCCTATA